AGTTGAATTCCCTCATTTCTCCCTTGCCAATGAGTTTCGCTAAGGTAAGTCCACAAAGTTACTATTATATAAGTAAAATATTTACATAATATAAACATTTTACTGAGGATTAGGCAAAGAAATGTATCAAGAAGATAGGCATTGTCAGTGCTTAATTTTGATATTCTGACATGTTTTCTTGTATAGATTATACATACGCCTTTGTATAATCTATGAAACAAAGGTATAGGTCTCTCTGCATTCATATTGCTGATATCAGTCTGATAATAAAAGTTGCAGTTCTTGTTCCATTGTCTTCAACAAAGCCACATTTTTTTTTTCTATTTCCGGTCTAAATCTTCTACAAATGCTATTTAAGAGAAACATAAATGATAGTCTGATGGTGTTTTCATTCATTTACACTGACTTTCACCGGCATTTATACATTGTCGTGATTATAAATTTATCAATTATCAATGTTGAAATCGTCTAAGGCTGTAGGCATCTTTATGAAAGGCACATCTAGCCATTTGTTTTGTTTCTCTTCACCGTGGCCAGTGTCGTCGTTACCTTAGATTTACTTAGAATACTACGACTCCTTCCATGTTTTTTTATGTACTATATTTTCTTCATAGTCGAAAAGCGTTTCCACACATTCTTTCCATTCTGCCGATGAGTACAGCCTTGTGCAAATTAATTGAAACAACCGCTTTAGTTTCCTTTCTTTCACCATACGGTCAGTTTAAAACCCACTGGAATGACAGGGTGTAATCTATTTCCATTTTTCCTCAGATTAGGTCATTTGCAGTGGTGTGTTGTAATATGAAATTTTTTGGAATGTATGATAAAATTTGTTTGGTCGGGAAGAATTTTGCGTCATCCGTGATTGGTTCAGATTTTTATCACGCCAGACACTATTGTCTCAACTGTCGATTAGTTGTCCTACGGCTATTGTCTGCGATGGACGTTACTCCAAGGAAGCATAAGAAAATTGTAATGCTGCACGAACACACTGGCAAGTCTTACCAGTGAGCAAAGCAACGTACTATAGACTGGCCCAGAAACTCTCCTGATTTAAATCCAATCGAGAATCTGTGGTCAATCTGCAAGGAACGACTTCATGGAATGGACATACGAAGTACTAACATGTGCACTGGGTCATGTTTCATTGGAAAAATAAGAAAAAAGTAAATAATAACGGAATTATTCGTTTTGTTTCAATTAATTTGCACAAGGGTGTAGGTGATCATGGCCCTCCCCATCTTCCTGTATAATTAATTTGCACAAGGCTATATGTTTTCTAGTCTCTTATGTATTTCACTGTCTATTATGTCTGTGTTTTGCTGTTTTTCTATTTCTTCATACTTCGCATTTTGCGCGTTCGTCTTTCTAGTGTAAGGCTTCCCAACCTGAGCCATACGGCCCACCAGCAGGCGATTTGAATTATTGCGTGGGCGATGAGCAACTGAACAGAAAGTGGTGAGCGATTGGAAATTTTGGTAGACGATATAGGAATTTGAGCATTAAAAGTATTTCAGAATATGATACCCCCAAAAAATATTCAAAGGAGATCCACAAATAACCTGTCTTAAAAGCCACAGGAAGTAAAATGGGAATAAATTTATCACATTCTGAAATAAGGTATAAAAATCCCCGCAAACAAGGAATATAAGGTTTTGGTTTGGTTTGATTTAGTTTTATGGCATATCAATATCAATGGGTTAATTAATGCCGACAAGATTCTTATTGCTGTAATATTTTTTTTTCAAAACTATATTGGTAATATTTTTTCAAAAATGTATTGCTGGTAAAAATATTTCCAAAAAGTATTGCTGGTATTAAAACCTATATTTATACTTTCATAGTGTTTTGACCGCTTTTGGAAGGTTAACTATTTGCCCATAGCTGGGACCCTGACAGGTGCTACCACCCCAAGTCAGAGAACACCAGCAATTAAGAGGTGGTTCCAAGCTCCTCAAAACCTCCTGATGAGAAGCCTTGCTGTCGGACGTATTTTATCGTCTTATCCAGGATGCTGGGTGTAGTTTATCGTCTTACCAAAGACACGGACGGGTTTAGTGGTTAACTATTTGCCCATAGCTGGGACCCTAACAGGTGCTACCACCGCAGGTCAGGGTGGACCTGGGAACACCAGAAATAAAGAGTTAGTTTCCCGCTTCTCAAACCCCCACCCTGATCAGAGGCCTTGCTGCTGGACGTAGTTTATCGTCTTACCCAGGATGGGAATATTTTGGTATTATCTACAATGTTGAGAAGGATCATTAAAATAATTCTTCTGTATTAGAAATAACATTTCGGATATAAATCAGATAAGTGAAGATCAAGAACAACAAAAACATATTCGCTGAATTTTTATTAGTTCCTGGTACTGTAAATTCTTTATAATTTTATAATTACTAGGAACAAAAACCGTTTAAGTTTTTGTCAACACTTGCAAAGCAAACCGTAAGAATAAAACAAACCTTGACAATAAAACTAAATTATATATACACTATACATTTCAAAAGTCAAGTTTGCTTTCGTATGCTTTTTAATAAGGCCACATAAGTCAGTTATTTGTTACCTCCATTCGGTATTTTTTTTATTTCATCATAAAGTCAGTTTATGAACCAGTAACAAACATCTACAAAAGAAGGGAAAATTAGGGAAAGTCATGATTGAAGGGCAATGCACAAAGAAGAAGAAAATCTACCAAACAATTTTGATATTCTTTTGAATATACAGGTGTATCATATATTTATCCAGGTGATGACGCAAAAAAAATGGTCGGGTACCTACCTGTTCTACGACAGAGGGAAGCTACATCATGTCTATGAGAAAGTGACTGGAGATGAGATGCCAGACCAGGGCCTATTAACATCTGTCTATATTCCTGAGATGAGGTATTAGTATGTACATCATTTCCATTATTCGGACTATTGTCCTCATCTTTGTCGCCATATTTTTTTACAACATTTCGGCCTCCTTCAAGTGGTTGAAATGTCGAGCTGAACCCTGGGGTAGACTGTTCTACTTCCACGTGCTATGTTTATGGGTATTATAAACCTAATGTCTTCAGCCATCATTTGTTACCAGTGCTCATATGCTGTTGTTATCACGTTAATATGTTAATATTAATTATATTTCTCCTTTAAACCGGGTATTGAACTCACTCTTTGGGCCCTGTCATGGATCTAAAAATTTTGTTTATCCAATTTTTTGCCATGTGTCCTTGAGAACATAAAAGTTGAATTTATATATTATTTATAAACCTAATGTCTTCAGCCATCATTTGTTACCAGTGCTCATATTGCAAATTTTTCTGTTATACATGTATGATTTTACCAAAGCTCATAAAAATATGCAAAAAAAAAAAAAAAATTGTATAGTATGAGCACTGGTAAAAAAAAAAATAGTTGCTTTGAAGTCATTAGGTTTATAAAAATTGAAATTATACAGATGTCCTCCAGGGACAGTGGTGGATAAAGGCGTTAGTTAGATCAGTGACGGGTTAAAGGTCCTGGAGAACTTGGAGAGGGGAATTAACAGGAGATAACTGACAACTGATATCCATTAAATATGGCACGTGGAACTAGAACAGTCTACCCCAGTGAGCGAAATAAAGGGTTCAGTTCGACATTCCAAACACCTGAAGAAGGCCGGAGCGTACAATGGCCGAAACGTTGTGAAAAATATGGCGACAAAGATGAGGACAATAGTCCGAATAATGGAAATAGTGCACATAATACCTCATCTCAGAAATATAGACAAATTCTAATGTTTTTGTTTAACATATATTCTACACCATTTTTTGTCGTTATATGCTGTCTACTTTATACCATCTTTTTTTTATCGTCTTTCGACCGATATATTCTTCAGCCTTTCACAAGGATGAGTTGCGTTCTGTAATATTTTAATGCTAAAGCTTTGTTTTGTTTTGTTTGTTTTTTTTTTTTTTTTTTTTTTTTTATAATTAACCATCTTCTTATGAGAAACTTAGAAATTCAGCTTAGAAATGCCCAGTTTAGAAATTCTGATATGCTGGAGAACTGCTGAAAGAAATACAGGACTCAAGAAGACCGGCGACTGCATCGGCTGAAATGTCGTGTTAAAAACAAGAGTCCGACCATTGGCTTGATAATTAAAGCACACGTCATTGATTGTATGCTTGACGCATGAAACAGATCTGCGTGAAATATGTATTTTTTTATGTTTTATTTGTTTAACTGCATATCAACTCCTTATGGGGCATTTAATAACGAAATTTAACTTTCTTGGCAGCTTGCAAGTAATAGAAATATATGTTATTCTGCTTTCGCAATCGAATACATGGTAAATGATACTCAGCTTTTGTGCATATGCATGTTTGTGTGGACATAATTATTAGAGGTGGTGATATGTGCATTTTATGTTGTTTTATTTGTTTTAACCGATTTGATCTCCCAGCAACTAGGGTGGGGGCGGTAATAGTCAGTGAGGGGAAAGAGACTGAAGGTAACAAAGATAATATTGCCTCGGAAACCACATTTACGAACAATATGCTCACAAGATTGGTTTCACAAGACACTGAGTCTTTCAAACTGCTGACTATACGTTTTCTCGTTGCTTTTATTGGCATGAGGCAATTTACAATGTTCCAGATCTTGACCAGTTACAGAAAGGCCCGTATCTAGACATGCCAATTAGTGCAGCTGCTAACATAGAAAACCCGGATGTAACTAGATGTTGACAGACATGTCCGCACGCGATCCTGGACCTCTTTTGCGTCTGTACTGACGTGCGTTCGCCACAGAATCAGCCAACACCATCTAGTAACAACAAAGAAAATTATATGAATTGTTAAAAGATTATAAGTAGGAACAGCTCTTAGAATGATCATGATTCTTTCAAAAAATATATACAAAAGCAGACTGTGCCCCTGAAGAAGGTTGCGCAATGGATTCGTAGATATGTCATGGTAAGAACAAAAGCTACGCAAAAAAAAGAGTTTCATAATTCGAAGAATTCTTGGAATATTTTACCTTATCGCTTTCCTTGGCAATATACATGCTTTGTCCGACCCAGATGTCATTTTGGTTGTTGTATTCTGCACCTGCACTAACCCAGAAAGTTTGATTTTTGATGCTTGAACTTGTTGCTGGGTTGATCATAGTTGCATTGAAGTCTATTTGAAGAATACTATTCTCTGCTTTGGTCACGTCATTCATGTTATTGGTAACATTTCCAAAGTTGAAGACAGCGCGGTCAAACTGAAAATAATAATAATAATAATAATAATAATAGAGACCGCAGAAAATAAATTGCCTCCTTATTGTTATGGCAGTCCCTGCAGACTGCAATGTATCTTTGAAGATCTTCAAAAAGCTGTCAAAATATAAGGACCTTGAAATCGAAATCTCAAAAATGTGGCACATAGGAACATCAATAATCTCTGTTGTAGTTGGAGCCCTCGGACTGATTGGAGAAGATTCCAATAGATTCAGTGAAGGGATGCCTTAAAGAACTACAAAAATTGTTCTCACAAGTACAGCCCACACTTCATGAAGGGCTTTATCTATATAAAATGTGTGTGTTGTTTTTTGGGGTTTTTTGTTGTTGTTGTTGTTAGAGATCGCAAACAAAAAATTCCTTATTGATATGACAGTCCCTGCAGATTGCAATGTGTATTTGAAAATTTTCAAAAAGCTATCAAAATACAAGGACCTTGAAATCGAAATCTCAAAAATGTGGTACATGGGAACATCAACAATTCCAGTTGTAGTTGGGACCCTCGGATTAATTGGAAAAGATTCTAATAGACTCAATGAAGGGATTCCTGATAGCCCATGACTTAAAGAAATACAAAAAATTGTCTCACAAGTACAGTCTACACCTCACGAAGGGCTTTATCTATATAAAATATGTGCGATCTCAGTTTTTTTCAAAACTGCTCATTGGAAAATGGCATTATGCCATTTCTGACCGTAGGTCCCTGGTCGGGACCCAGAAAGAAATGAGTACACATCAGTAAAGAAAAGAAAATAGTAATAATAATAATATATTTAAAGATACATGAAACCTTCAGTAGACTGGATAGTGATCTGGATCAAAGAACATGAAAGATATAAGAAACTTTATTTTAAGGATGCCATGACATTCAAAAGAGAATTTCAAGTGGATGAAGAAATGAAAATAAACCATCATTATCATCACCTTCGCCCTCCCTAGGGTTGGTCGGAACACCAGTGACGACCCCTTTCCACACTGTTCGGTCCTGTATTTCTGTCCCCAGATCCTCAACGTTCAACGCTGAGTCCCAAGCCATGGTGCCAGGGAAAGTCAATTTTCGGGAGAAGACACTTCTAGAAGGATACCATAGGAGTAAGGGTGAGGCGATTTCTCCGTCCTCTCGGTGGCTGTGGCCGGCAAATTGTAATCATTTTTGTTTGAGCTTAAGACAGATTGGTCTCAGTTCTCCGTAAATTGTGTTAAGCGTTGTTTGGGATCTCCAAACGATGTTCTGGATTTTTAAACAGATTCGTATATGTTCCATCCAGTCATCTTTCAAGACGAACAGATAATGTCCAAGATTTTGAGCAGTAGGACTGATTCAATCAATGTTCGAAAGGTTTGGACTTTTAAAGAGGATGGAAGATTCGAGCGCCAAATCTTGTGAAGTTTGTTACACGCATCCCATGCAAGAACTTTGCACATCTGTCTATATTGTCCTCATCTTTGTCGCCATATTTATCACAACGTTTCGGCCTTTCAGTATCTGTCTATATTTCTGAGATGAGGTATTATGTACACTATTTACATTATTTGGACTGTTGTCCTCATTTTGTTGCCATATCTATTACAACGTTTCGGCTTTTCAGTATCTGTCTATATTTCTGAGATGATGTATTATGTACACTATTTACATTATTTGGACCATTGTCCTCATTTTGTTGCCATATTTATTACAACGTTTCGGCCGTTGTACGCTCCAAAGAGTGTTAGTTCCATACCCGGTTAAGGCAGTGGAGAACTTGGAGATGAGAATTAACAGGAGATATCTGATAACTGATATCCATTAAAACATGGCACGTGAAACTAGAACAGTCTACCCCAGTGAGCGAAATAAAGGGTTCAGTTCGACATTCCAGCCACCTGAAAGGCCGGAGCGTACAACGGCCGAAACATTGTAATAAATATGGCGACATAAGATGAGGACAATAGTCCGAATAATGTAAATAGCTTTGCAGATGTTGAAGGCTTTTTTGGAATCTATTATGTGAGATCCAAGATTATTTATAGAGTTGAAAATTTCAAATATGTTGGATCTCATAAAATATATTCGAAAAAAGACTTCAACATCTGCAAAGCTATTTACATTATTCGGACTATTGTCCTCGTCTTATGTCGCCATATTTATTACAATGTTTCGGCCGTTGTACACTCCGGCCTTCTTCAAATTAAATAAACCATAATACATCTACTGGAGTGACAGCGAACTTAAAAGAGACAGAAGAGCTAAATGCAATGTACCAAGTGCAGAAA